GGTGCCAGGGCGAGCCGGGGACGAGGAACCTGCAACAAACAGGAGATGTGAGTGCACCACAGGCAGGGTCCCCCCCGGGTGGCACCCCCCAGACCCCCTTGGGTGTCCCCTCACACCCTGCACAGCCCCCCCACCCGCACCCATGGCTCCCCACCAGACGCTTTGGGTGGGGGAAAAAATCCTTCTTGGGCTTGCTGATGCACCTCTCTGCTGTGCAAAATTGTGATCAGCTTTACCTGCAAACCAGCCACATGGACAGGTGAAAAATGACACGAGTTCAGCCCCTGCAGAAGCTGGTGCTACAGGTCCTGCACTCCAGCACCTCCCGGGGCTCCAGCAGCTCCCAGTTACCCACCAGAGGAGTGAGGGGTCCTGGCCAGACTGGCAACACTTTGTCCAAGCCAAGAGGAAAGGTGGGAGAGTGAGGTGATGAGATTTGGGCTGGGAGCACAAAGTGGTTCCCAACTGTCTGGAGGAGCCTTGGAGAGAAGGGTGCAGTGACTGGGGCTCGGGTGGTCCCCAGCAGCTGCTGCCTTGCTGTGAGGGGCCATTTTGACAATGAAACACACATTTTAGCAGCTACCCAGCACACTGGGTTTCTCCACGTACAGAAACTCCCTGCAGGGTGAGTTCAGCAATCACTGGTGTCATTGCAGAGCACCCAGACAAGGGGGGTGGCAGGAGGAGGGAGGGGAACCCCACGTTGCAGCACAGCTGAGCTGGCGTTTGCTGCCAGCCTGCACGGAGCCCAGCAGCCCAGGGACATGAAGATAAGCATGAAGATAATCACTCAGATCAGGCCTTTAGCTTGATTCCTCCCGCTTGCAAGAGAATCATTTTACTAAGTTTTCTATAGAAATGAGACTCAGATACAAATGTCAGATGGTTGAGACAAGAGAGGGGTTTGTTCAAAGAGCGGAAATGCCAGTTCTTCATTTGCACACACCTCCAACATTGAAGCCACTTTTGTACTTAGAAGCCTAATTTGAGAGCTAAAGGTTGAATTTTTTCCTTCCTTATCCCAAAAAAAAGGCCTGACAGAACAGGAATTCTTCAGGGAAAGTAACCCAGCAGCACTGGGGGGGTGTCACAAAGCAGAGGCTTCCAGGGGGCATTTTGCCCTGGCTCAGGAGTGGCCACCAGCCTGCAGAGACCCTGCAAGATGCCAGCCTTCATCTAAGGAAGTTTATTCCTCAGGGATTTAAAGTCCCTGGGAGCCCAATGTACCTCTAGCTGTTTTCCCCACCAAGAAGCTGGGGTGGTGTGTTGTAAATCAGCATCCAATAGGGCTGCCATCCCCAGCCCTGCCCGGCTGAGCTCTGGGATGCTGGGTGTCCTGGAATGGCTCTGCTCCATGCCATCCCACAGGTGGCCACCTCTGGAGCTGGATGCACCAATGGTGACCATGGAAGGGTGAGAATTAGGCAGGAGCAGGAAGGCTGCTGGATCTGCACTCAGATTTTGTGGGTCTACTTCAGGGCTCTGCATTTCCACAGCTACCTGTTCCACACCAGCAAGGTGGAGGTGTTGGAGGCTGCAGAGCACACCAAACAAACTGGGAGCTGTTCCTGGGGAAGAGACATGGATCTTCCCAAGTAGGCAGCACTGCCTGGCAGAGTTTCTCCACCCAGGGAGCCCCCAGCATGTCTCCAACCTACAGATCTCTGCTCAGGCAAGGTGGTTGACATGAGGGTGGAGAGCAGGGTAGGAACAAACTTGCTGTTTCCTGCTGCTGATCTCCTGGAGAATTCCCAGCTCCCACCAGGATCAGGGTGCTGCAGCCCCACCCCACACCCTCACCCCCTCATTCCCCCCACCCCGAGCCAGCACAGAACAGCCACCAGCACAGAACATCCACCACCACTGAACAAAGCACACTTGCAGTGACAGCCACACTCAGGGGAGGTGACACACCAGCAGCCCCTCTTCAGAGGTGACCAACTCCCAGAGCAGATGGCACCAGGCTGGGGACAGTGGCTGGGCACAGGGCTGGGGACTGTGCAGCCACCACCAAAGCTCCAGAGCGGTGACACCCTGAATTGATCTCGGGTGGCTGCAGGGTGACAGGGATGTGCACATGGTGGCTGCACCAGGAGAACACAATCCCTGGGCTCAGCCTCAAGTGGCACGATCAGGTTGCAGCTCCTCAAGCTCATGTAAGCTGACCTCTTACCAGCTCGTTTGCCCTAATGGACTGGCAGATATCTTATAATTAAGCAGGTGCCAGCACGTGCTAGAGGAACCTCTCAGGTTCATGCCACAAGCCCTTTCTCCAGGCCCAGGAGGGAGGGCCTAAGCCCCCTCCAGCCCCATGCCCCCTCTGGGCTGCCAGTTAGTTGGTTTCAGAAGCCTTGAGGTGACCTTATGCAGTGACCTGTCCGTGAGAGGTTTAACCCCTCAGTTATCTGCCTGAAACCTTTCCACCTACGTTCACTCTGAAACCTACTGAGGGCAGAGCTGCAGCACTGCCACTGCCCTGCCAAACACCGGAGGGGGGTGTGTGTGTGTGTGTGGG